AAGTGGGAAAGCTCTTTGGCTCCAATTCCTACAAACTTCATGTAACCTTTTTTGTTCAAGCCACACATTTTATTCTAACTCAGCTTTTTAGTAAATATAGTTTAGTTCTGGAAAAGTTTTTTTTTTAAATTGCTGCACTTTTGAGATGTTTTTAAAACAAAGCAATAGATTGAAGCAGATCCGCATCAGCCAGACTAATGCAGTGTTTAGCCCAATTTAAATCAAATATCAAAACTTGCACATAATACGTGAAACCACAATTTTAATCTACAATAAGCTCTCTGTGTGTGCACTTGGTTACACTTTTCAGAGAAAAGTTTTTTGCAAAACTAGGTCACTTTTTAAAATGGGTGGGAGATCCTGATCCTGAGTAAATACAGGGCTAGTGTCTCAGATTCTAATACCAATATCTGTCATGTCCATTAAATAATGTTATGATTTTTGCTTTTAGATAGTCAATTATGATAAGGACAAAGGTTTTAGGTAAAAAAAAAAACATGTTTTGTGTTAACTAACAGCGTAAAATTAAACAAAGAATTCCTTTATTATTTTCTGCTGCACAAAAAGTCACTGGTGCAAAACAACAAAACGAAGCAACAACGTAACAAAAATATAAATAAAACAATGTTAACACACACAAAAAAATAATAATTCTCATTTCATGCGTGCATGTGGAGACTGGACTACCAACTTAATTTTTCACTTTATTTGAGAAAAATAAAGTCAGTAGTGCAAATAAAGAGTTAACAAATGAATCAATGTTACTGCAGTCTGATACCAATAATCATTTTGGTATCAATAATATTGATACGTGGACCAATACACCTGCCCCTGCTGTTTAAATCACACACAAACAATGTTTTGTGTACACATGACAGAAAATTCTCAATGTTGTATAAAGTACCTGAAAGTGATACTTGAGTAAAAGTACAAGTATCTTATCATAAAATTACTTTGGTAAAAGTTCAAGTCTTCTCTAAGAATATTACTTGAGTAAAAGTCTTAAAGTGTCTGATTTATTTTGTAGTTAATATCAAAAGTAAATTTCTGACATAAAATGTACTTAAGTAATAAAAACAAAAGTATTGAGTAAAAATGAGTGCTTAGATTTTCTAAAATACATTTACTGGAAGGTGACCTCTTCAAAATTATTTTTTCTAAAGGTGTGCAGCGTTGATTAATTGTATACAAGCTAAATATTGTATCAGAATGGTATATATTTATACTTCTCATGCAACCACAATTAAATTCACTCTATCCAGGAGACACAATTTTTCAGGAGAGTATTTTTTAACAATAACAAGCTGAAATGAAAATAGGAGTAATGACTCTATTTCTTACCTTTTTTAAAAATTTAAGAAGTAGAAAGTACAGATAATTGAATAAAAATGTAAAAAGTACGCTGAAAAATAATTACTCAAGTAAAGTATAGATAACCAAAAATTTCTGCATAAGTACAGTAACAAAGTATTTGTACTTTGTTACTGTACAACTCTGAAAATTCTGAACCTATTTGGCATTTTGTGTTGCATGTTTACTTGCTGATGTGTGTGTGTGTGTGTGTGTGTGTGTGTGTGTGTGTGTGTGTGTGT